GTAGCCAGAAATCCTGCTGAATGATAGGGGATCAAATACTTATTTCCCTCATGAACATGCAAATCAGTGCAACATTTGTTAGAGTAGAAAAAAAAATTAAAAAAGTAATGCATGTCTGTCTCTGTGTTACAATACACCTACCATTCGATTTGTAGACCGATCATTTCTTTGTGAGGGGCAAACATTCAAAATCAGCAGGGGGTTAAATACGCATTTCCTTCACTGTATATTTATTTTTATTTCAGGTATATATTTACACAGCACTTTACATATATATTGTACATTCACATCAGTCCCAAACCCTCAAGGGGTGTACAATCTAAGGTCCCTAACTCACATTCATACATACATACTAGGGGCAATTTAGATAGGAGACAATTCACCTACCAGCATGTCTTTGGAGTGCGGGAGGAAACTGGCGACCTGCAAGTCCTTAACTGGGTTGGAGCTTCTCAGAATGTGAACTAAAATGAATTTTGCCTTTTCTTTATAAATAAAGAACAGTCTTTCCCAACCAGAGTTCTGTGGCACTCTAAGTGTTTCTCCATTGGTTACTTGGTGTTCCTTGGACAAGTGCTGACTATCGGATATGGAACCATTGTGATCTTTTATCTATAGGAAGGTAATCTTCTCACAGACCACCACTAAAGAGTATTCTTCTCGATGACCATCAATGTAAGGAGTATTTTTTTTTTTCCATTGACCACCAATGGTAAGGATTATTGTTACCACTGACCAATCTTATAATTGGGTCCTTCTCCCACTGACCACCAATGGATGGGGGTCCTTCTAATAACCACCAACCTAAGACACACCCTTCTTCACAGACCCTCAGTGTAAGGAGCATTCTTTTTCGCTGACCAACGTAAGAGGGCTCTTCTCCCAATGACCATAATCTAATAAGACCCTTCTTCACTAACCATCAATGTAAGGGATCTCCAGTGTAAGGGGGGACCATTCCATTGATTGCCAATATGAGGGTCATTTCTCCAATTACAACAAAATGTGAGGGAGCGCTACAATTTTCAATGTCTGAATTTCCTTTCTGACCATTATTATTTGTTTGATTAATATTGCTTAAAGTAATTGTGTTGCATAGAGCAACCGAGGGTGTCAAATAGGCTAAGAACATCAAAATCTTTATTCTACGTGTCTTTCTAAAATGATCTTGCCCACAGAGTGGCATTGCTGCTGCTATGTGATTTCAATCCAGGCAGTGTTGTCACAGTCTGATGTTACAGGAAATGGAACAATAACAAGCCCCCTGGCAAGATCAGAAGGTAAAAATTACATTACAGCAGGAGCTCTGTGTTAATGCTACTTACAGGCTACAGCATATGCAGTATATTGGGGCCTGGAAACCCATTGATCTCGATCTACCTGTCAAACATCGGCAGGATGTTGATACCCCCCCCCTCCCACTTATACAGAGTGCCGCAAGAAAGCCAGGAGGGCTGTGAGGGGGGAGCAGAAGGAGGAAACCTAGACGTGGAGGGAGCAGTGTGTCACCCCCAACCCGCAGAAAGTGAAAGCGAGTTTTTCCTCCTTTCCCTCCCACTAGTTATTAACTGCTACAGGGGATCGGTTCCAGTAAATGCCACCCCCTTCTGGTTCTCCTTCCTTCTGTTGGCCAAACCCCTTTTTGTGTGCTTCCCTGGTCAGATCATTCACTGTGTTTATTCATAACTGAAGCATAGTAAATTGTCTTTATTGTGCTTCTGTTTGTGAATGAACAGAACAACTGTTCATCTTCTTTGCAGCAGAGAGTGATTGAGGACTGTGTTCTTAATCACTCTCTTGGTATCAAAAGTGAGACATCAGGGGTTTTGACCCCTGATTTTTTACAATCTGGGGGAAAAGGGGCGGGGGCTTTGGTAAAATAACAATGATAAAGAAAAAGGGTACTGAACTTCAGTGATCTTTGATCTCTTGCATGTTGTTCAGGTAGATCTCCACCACCTAAAGGTTGCCCACCCCCGTAGTATGTCATGGTTTATTTCCTTCCATAGTTACTCTTTAACCATTTCAATACCGGGCAATTTTACACCTTCTTGCCCAGGCCATTTTTCAGGTTTCAGCGCTCTCACACTGAATGACAATTGCGCGGTCATACAACATTGTACCCAAACTAAAATTTTATCATTTTCTTCACACAACTAGAGCTTTCTTTTGGTGGTATTTAATCATCGTTGGGGTTTTTATTTTTTGCTAAATTAACAAAAAAGACCGAAAATTTTGAAAAAAAAAAAACAAAACACGTTTTTCTTTGTTTTTGTTAAAAAGTTTGCAAATAAATAATTGTTCATAAATTTAGGCCGAGATGTATTCTGCTACATGTCTTTGGTGAAAATAACCCAAATTAGGATGTATTATTTAGTCTTAGTATAGAGTTCACAAACTATGGTTCTGAATATTGATCAATCCTGAAGTACTCACAAATCTAATGGGTATAGAACAGTACTGAATAAATTCAGGATACAATATCCCCCAAATGTCAGGACAGTACAGATATCCGAAATGTCAGCAGTACAATCTAAATGTCAGGAGTACCAAGAATGTCAGGACAGTACAGATATCCCCCAAATGTCAGGACAGATATCCCCCAAATGACCACTTTTTTGCAAAGCAGACAGTCCGACGTACTTCATAAGAGGCATGGCGAGTTTTTTGAAGTTGTATTTTTTTTTTTTGTCATAATTTTTCGGAAAATGAAAAAAAAAAAAAATTTCATTTTCACTTTTTTTTTTTACATACTGTCACCAGTGCAGTACAGCGTCATCATATAACTGGCATGGCGGTGATCAGGGACACTGACTGGTGACAGTGTGAAAAAAAAAAATATATATTTTTTTTTATTTTAAATTTTTTATTACATTTTTTTTTAAGATTTTTTTTTCATATTTCACTATGACCAAAGTAGTACAATGTTACCATAGTAACATTGTACTACTTTGGGGAAGTGATCAGTATTTTTTTTTTTTTTTACACAATTTGGTTATAGCAAAGAATTACTTTGCTATAAGCAAGCATTTACCTGAATGACATCCATTCATTCAGGCTTTTTTTTTTTTTCTTTTGATTTGGCTTAACTGTGACATCACATGACATGTGCATGTGATTACTGTGACCATTCACAGCTAGGCACTAGTATACAATGGATGGCATGAATGCCATCCATTGTATACAACTGTCATATGACCTGCTGTGATTGGTCACAGCAGGTCACATGGTACCGGCAACAGGGACCAGTACTCAGATCTGTCATCGGTTGTGTCCGAGGTACACGGCCGGTGACAGATCGCGCCGCTGCGTGGCTCTGCAAGCGCGCGAACTGCGCATGTGCGGGAGGACGCCATATGGCGGCCTCCCGGAAAGCTAATACATTTTTATGGACGCCATAGGGCCGGGCGTCAAATGGTAAAAAGGCAACACTTCAGAACTGTAACAAAGAAAATCTTTATTATAATCAAAATAAACTCACAAAGCAAACAGAAATGGATTCTTGAAACCCCTGCATTCCCAGAGTCCCTTGCTTTTCTTTCTACAGCTGTCTGATGATTTGCCGATCTTCTCCGTTCCTAAGAAGTTTCATAACTTCTTCCTGGGTGTTCGCAGCAGCTGGGTTGGAACTGGTAGTCAGGATCTAAACCTGGGTGGGATACAGATTCTCCCCCCCATTCTTTCCCTGCACACATTACATTTGCCACTATGTAGTGCTGCGATGGATAAAACTTGCTTTTCCCATTGTACGTAGACTGAACTTTAATTGCACTTGATCTTGGATCATCTGATTATACTCTAAACTCCCTGAGATGACTGTGGGGCTCCCCCGGCATAGTCACAGTAAAGGCAGCACATTGTGCATCTGTTCCCTGAGATAAATATTGGAAAGGAATAGGTTAATGGGAGGGTTTGTTGGTTTATGAACCCACTTATCAATGCGTTACTTGGGCCTAGCTATCTAAGGAAAGGTAACTAATAGGAACAAGAGGTGTCCATGGGTGAGATAAGTTATTAAAGAATATCTCCTATAGGGGGGAGCAACCATTAGGTGCCAAGTTACAATTAGCAGACAACTGACATGCCACTCAATAATAGCGAAGTGTAGGCCGCGGATCAGTCTCAATTCCTGAACAATTCAAAACACTGATCGGCTCCAATTTCTGCACCTTCACACCTCCAAGCAGCCCCAATTCTTGCACCTTCACACCTAAGATCAGCCCCCATTCCTGCACCAGCAGATCCCAGGTCAGCCCCCATTCCTGCACCATAAGAAACACAGGTGTCTACATTCATACTTGCTGTAGCTTTTCCACTACAGGGGAAGAGGCGAGTGGGCCTCTTCACACCACATCCTCAGCAAAGTCTACACTAGTATTGAAAAGAGGGCTGGCACCCACTATCGGTGACACCAAGTCGTTGATTCACCATGGAGGTAAGTAGGCTTTAAGGTGCCGAGGGGCAGGTCAGGCATTGTAACAGACAGCCCATGGCTGTATTTGTAGCAGGGGCTCACTGAAGGATCCTTTGGTGCATGAGTCCCCGAACCTATGAGAATGACACATTATTTTCTAGATGCCACCAAAAATAGCATCACATACCCACCTTGGCTCCATACCTTAGATCACATACCCACCTTGGCTCCATGCCTTAGATCACATACCCACCTTGGCTCCATGCCTTAGATCACATACCCACCTTGGCTCCATGCCTTAGATTACCTTTCCCTGTTCTATAAATACACACACACTACCAGTGCACCACATCCACACACAGTTTGTCACCGGGCCAGAGCAAATAAGATATTCTCAGTGCTGTACAACTGGCAACGGTGAAAGGACATCATTGCAGGACACTTCAAATTGCATTATGAGACAATACAATAAACACATTCATCATAAAATTGTCCAGCGTGATTTTTAGAGACTTGACAAAGTGCAGAGTCTTTAGAAGAAATAGCTTCCCGTGTGTCAGACAGTCGCCACAAAGGAGTGGCGGTACTACAGCAGTAAAGCGTTCAGCAATTTAGGGTAGTTTGGAGTCCCCCATCCTGTTACTGGGTCCCAGCTTGGACCTGCACAAAATCCTTGTCCTAGAACAAGGTCATCGAAACAAGCCACATGACATCCCTCTGTGACCTGCAGGGAAGACAGAAAGAAATTAAATCTTATATAGCATCCTCATTAAATGCTTACAATAGGGTAGGAAAACTTCAGCCTTCCAGCTGTTGCAGAATTGCACGTCCCAAGAGGCATTGGAAGACTCAGCCAGTTTCAGACTTGCACGTCCACAGGCTTTGAAGACTCAGCCAGTTTCAGAAGACGAGGCTTTGGAAGACTCAGTTTTCAGACTTGCACGTCCCACGAGGCTTTGGAAGACTCAGCCAGCCGCAGAATTGCACGTCCCACGAGGCATTGGAAGAGTCAGCCAGCCGCAGAATTGCACGTCCCACGAGGCATTGGAAGACTCAGCCAGCCTCAGACTTACACGTCCCATGAGGCATTGGAAGACTCAGCCAGTTTCAGACTTGCACGTCCCACGAGGCATTGGAAGACTCAGCCAGCCTCAGACTTGCACGTCCCACGAGGCATTGGAAGACTCAGCCAGCCTCAGACTTGCACGTCTCACGAGGCATTGGAAGACTCAGCCAGCCTCAGAATTGCACGTCCCACGAGGCATTGGAAGACTCAGCCAGCCTCAGAATTGCACGTCCCACGAGGCATTGGAAGACTCAGCCAGCGTCAGACTTGCACGTCCCACGAGGCATTGGAAGACTCAGCCAGCCTCAGACTTGCACGTCCCACGAGGCATTGGAAGACTCAGCCAGCCTCAGAATTGCACGTCCCACAAGGCATTGGAAGACTCAGCCAGCCTCAGAATTGCACGCCCCACGAGGCATTGGAAGACTCAGCCAGCCGCAGAATTGCACGCCCCACGAGGCATTGGAAGACTCAGCCAGCCTCAGAATTGCACGCCCCACGAGGCATTGGAAGACTCAGCCAGCCGCAGAATTGCACGTCCCACGAGGCATTGGAAGACTCAGCCAGCCGCAGAATTGCACGTCCCAGGAGGCATTGGAAGACTCAGCCAGCCGCAGAATTGCACGTCCCATAAAGGCATTGGAAGACTCAGCCAGCCACAGAATTGCACGTCCCACGAGGCATTGGAAGACTCAGCCAGCCTCAGAATTGCACGTCCCAGGAGGCATTGGAAGACTCAGCCAGCCGCAGAATTGCATGTCCCATAAGGCATCGGAAGACTCAGCCAGCCGCAGAACTGCACGTCCCATGAGGCATTGGAAGACTCAGCCAGCAGCAGAATTGCACGTCCCATAAAGGCATTGGAAGACTCAGCCAGCCGCAGAATTGCACGTCCCACAAGGCATTGGAAGACTCAGCCAGCCTCAGAATTGCCAGTCCCAGGAGGCATTGGAAGACTCAGCCAGCCGCAGAATTGCATGTCCCATAAGGCATTGGAAGACTCAGCCAGCCGCAGAACTGCACGTCCCATGAGGCATTGGAAGACTCTGCCTCTGGGAGTTATGTTTGCAGCTGGCTATGGCATGATGGGACTTGTAGTTTGCCTACCCATGGCCTTCAACAATAGGTGCTACTTACGTCGAACAGTGCCAGCGTCCCATTTCCTTGTAGCCGGTATAACGCTGGGTTTAGGAATCCCAGAGGAGGTTGGCTTCTCTTTAAACGCTGGTCATTAATCAGAGAAAGGATACCACCAAACACCGGTGTGGAGGCCTGAAGAAGAGGTAAGATGAAAGAGGGGTTAACACAAATATATATCTGACCTCCAGCCTTCCCTTCAGTCTTGCAGAGTTGTAGCGGCTCCTCTCCTGGACTGAAATGGTATAAATGCCTACAGGGCATTTATACCCTCTTCCTGTCCAGGCCAATTTCCAGCTCTCAGCGCTGTCACACTTTGAATGACAATTGCACGGTCATGCAACACTGTACCCATATGAAATTTTTATCTTTTTTTGTGACAGATAGAGCTTTATTTTGGTGGTATTTAATCACCTCTGGTTTTTGGTTTGTTTAAGAAAAAATAAAAAACCCTGAGGTGATTAAATACCACCAAAATAAAGCTCTGTCACAAAAAAAAATAAAAATTTCATATGGGTACAATGTTGCATGACTGCGCAATTGTCATTCAAAGTGTGACAGCGCTGAGAGCTGGAAATTGGCCTGGACAGGAAGGGGGTATAAATGCCCTGTAGGCGAGGGGTTAAATATGGAGGCATTAGCTTCATTTTTTGTTTTTTTCAAACTTTTCAGTGGTTTTTGGTTTGTTTAAGAAAAAAAAAAACCCACTGAAAAGTTTGAAAAAAAACCAAAACGTTTTTTCTTAGTTTTTGTTATAACATTTTGTAAATAAGTGATTTTTCTCCTTCACTGATGTGCGCTAATGAGGCTGCTGTGATGGGCACTGATAGGCTGCACTGATGGACACTGATAGGTGGCACTGATGAGGAGGCACTGGTAGGTGGCACTGATGGGAATTGACAGGCATCACTGATGGGCACTGAAAGGCAGCACTGATACATGGCACTGATAGGCGGCACCGACTGGCACTGATAGGCAGCACTGATAGGTGACACTGAAAGGCAGCTCAGATGGGCACTGATATGTGGCACTGATGGGCACTGGCAAAAAGGCACTGATGAGCACTGACACAATGAACACTGACAGGTGGCACTTCTGGGGCTACACTGATCATCAGTGCTCTGATGATCAGGGTACATGTCCCCTCCAAGGAATGCCGATTACCGGCTCTCCTCTCCTCACGAGCTGTCAGCATGACAGCTCGAGAGGCGAGAAATGCTGATAACTGGCATTTCCCTGTTTACATGTGATCAGCTGTGATTGGACACAGCTGATCACATGACCGAGCCAACATCTTTGGCTCTTTCCGTGGATCGGTGATCTGCTGTGTCCGAGGGACACAGCGCACAGCCGATCGCGCCGCGCGCTGCCTGAGCCGCGCATGCGTGGTGAGAATGGGAGGACGTCATAGGACGTCCTCCCAGAACGAGAGAACCGCCTTGCGCCCGTCATATTACTATGTGGCGGGCGGGAGGTGGTTAAGCTCTGGGCAGTTGGAAAATATTACATTTTTATTGGTCTTCTTAGAAGTTTTTTGCCTAGGGTTATATCTACTGTATAATAAAAGTATTCCCACAGCTTCTCATAGAGAGTGCAAATACTCACCGAGGTGCCAGACACCCATGGAATGGGGAAATGGTTTATCACCACCCAATAATTGTCTGACAGCGAAGCCACATCAGGATACGCTCGGCCACTACGGTTATAGTAGTTCTCTGGTGGCAGTTTCTCTTTAGTCTTCAGATACTGGGATACAGCAGAGACCTTCAGGAGGATGGAACAGCAGAGGTCAATGCACAGGAGGAGGATGGGTGAAAGGTTAGGAGGAGCACAAAGACTACCATAGGCTCACCTGGTAATCCGGCATTGGGAAGACATTACTGAATCCACCACCGCTAATGAAGTCGGTCACCTCGTACGTCACCTGGAAGGGGTTCTTAAAGGACGTTCCCCCCACTGTGGTGACATAGGGGCTGTGGATGGACAGAAAACATGATGGGTATTTTGTGATATGCATTGATGAGCAGAATACATTTCAAAACATTCAGTACAGCTAAAATCTTTACAATGAATGTCAGGAAGGTACAGTAACAACATGTATATCTGCACAGGTAGCACAGACACCTTAACCCTGTTACCAGCAAGGCAGATGCTGATTGTCCAAGAGCAGGACTGGAGGTATGAAAATTGTGGAACCACCCCATTCTACATAGTTAATCTGGCTGACAAAAGACAAAAGTCCATCCAGTTCAACCATTAAAAAAAAAAAAAAAGTTATAATCCTACACCCACAGTTGATCCAGAGGAAGGCAAAAAACCCAGCAAAGCATGATCCAATTTGCTCCTGCAGGGAAAAAAATTCCTTCCTGATCCCCCGAGAGGCAATCGGATATTCCCTGGATCAACTTTCCCTATAAATGTTATATCCAGTTATATTCTGTGTATCTAATTTAGTTACATATTCCCCATCCTTGGTGTCAAGAAGTCTGAGTAGGTGTCAATCACACTATTTAAATGGCTAAAATTGTTAATCCTTGTCAAATTGCCGGGGTAGAGATGTTAAAATAGCTCAATTTGTGGAGGAAAGATGGTGTACAAGGCTACCACCCCCGCTCAGGAATGGTTGGTTAGAAAGAGAAATGAAAGATCCCATTTATGTCAAATTGGAACAGCCTCTCTGCCCAAATTGTGCAGCTTACAGTCATGGAAAGAATGTCCCTGCAAACTATAGGACTTGTGCTATGTCAGGTCATTTGTTATTTATATCAGGTACTTATATAGAACCATCAATTTATGCAGCTCTTTACACATATTGTACATTCACATCAGTCCCTAACCCTCAAGGGGTGTACAATCTAAGGTCCCTAACTGACCTTCATACATACACATACTAGGGTCAGTTTAAACAGGATCCAATTAACCTACCAGCATGAGTGGGAGGAAACTGGAGTACCCGGAGGAAACCCACGCAGGCACAGGGAGAACATGCAAACTCCAGGCAGGTGGTGCCATGGTTGGGATTTGAACCAGAGTCCCTTGTACTGCCAGGCGGAAGTGCTAACCATTTAGCCACTGTGCTGCCCAACTCTGTTGATGAGAGGTTAGAATGTGTTTTTGCATTCCACTGTCCTGCATTCTCCAAGTTACTTTGCTTGTGTTTGGGGTATTGAGTCTTAAGTAGGGGCGCACTGACAACTTATGGGGCCCCCGGGGAATAGGGGATCATGGGGCCTGTGTCCTCACCCACACTCAAACCACACCCAAAAAAGCCTATAAAAAAAAAAAAAAAAAAAAAAAAAAAAGGTACCAGGGGCATCTCATGGGGCCCCCTACTGACCCCGGCCCCAAGTTCCCAAATGGTCAGTCCGCCCCTGGTCTTAAGGATGAACAAGCTTCTGTCTCAGTGTTTTGCTGGGCTGAAAGTTTTTCTATGGTAACAGGGTCCCTTTAAAGGGAACTTGTTAGGGCATTGCCAACCCGTTTTTAAAAAGGTGCACATTCCATGGATGTCATCCTCTTCCTTGCTTGACTACATGGTTGGTAACTGACCTAAAGCAAGTGTTAAGCCACTATAGTCAGAATTACAAACATGTGCTTGTTTCAGGTCACCGACCAACTAGGTAATGAAGGAAGGATGACAAAAGAGGACGCCAGCATCTGAATGTAGGGGATTTACAAAAAGACATAAAAAGGGTTAAAATGCACTCGCTGCATACAAAAGGTAAGTAGCATTTAATCCATTTCAGGGTGAAGCCATCTAGAGAGCCGAGGGATGTTGCAGAGGACAGCAGTTTCGACAAAGGGGTGATCCTAAGCCTTGAAACGCGTAAACCACGCCCATCACATGTGACGTCATAGCCGAAGTGGAGCCGAGCCCGGTGCGGCCTACTGACACATCTTGGAAGTCTCCTAGCCACACTGCTAACGGCTTTCATTCCAGACTGGTTCAGAGAGTCCCCACACCAGCAGCTTCCTTGCATTCTTCCTAGATGGCTTCACCTCGAGATGGATAAAATGCTGCTTAACCCCAGTGAGTGCATTTTAATCCTTTTTATGCCAGTCTTTCTAGAAATCCTCCACACTCCGATACTGGCGCCCTCTTTTGTTCATCCTCCATATGTACTCAAGACCCTGTAAGGCTACATGTACACTGGAACTGCTAGACATTACTGGCAGAAGAGAAACGCTAAATGCAGGAAAAACATGAGTAACCGCGGGACCACGTTTAGCATCTGAACGTTTATTCATTTCATTGGCCAGAGCGTTTGACATTAAAATGAACAAAACGCCCAAATGTGGCTAACGCTTAGGCATGTTTACACATGTTTTTGGCCAAAATGTTCCTCTCCTGAACGCGATTCTTCTGCCTCTTCAGTAGAAGAAAATTTAGCTGCCCCTAAAAACTCTGGTAAAAGCCAGTTTGCATGGACACATAGGCTTTTATTGAGTTGAGTTCAGGGGCTTTATCAAAAAAAGAAAAAAAACGCAACCAAAAGCCCCTAAACTCACATTTAGGAGACTGCTGCTCCTAAATGTGAGTTTAGGGGCTTTTGGTGCGTTTTTGTTTTTTTTCTTGCTAAAGTGAGGGTCTCTTTATAAACACACTGTAGATTTGATTTGTAGATGTACAGGAAGCCTTAGAAGAGCAGCAAAAATCTACAGTGTGTTTATAAAGAGACCCTCACAAACTTTTCACCCAAAAATCCTATTCATCACAAGACATTTATCATCAAAGCGCCATAGCTTTTTCCTTTTTCTAATGGAAGGATCTTCAAAAAAAGTCATCTTGGCTCTCCCTGTATTTGTACATTGAATTCTTCATCTCATTTGATGGCTACAAAGGGAAATTGTAAGGCAAACTGCTGTAGGACTTGTGTAACTTGACACTGTGGTAGAGATCACATATACTAAATGGCCAAAAGTTTTGGGAAACCTGACCATCACACCTATACGAGCTTGTTGGACATCTCATTTTAGAACCAGGACCATTAATACTGAGTTGCCTCTCCCCCCCTTACTCTTTGTGGCTCCCACTTTTGGCTTTCTACGGGATTTTGGAGTGTGTCTGTGGAAATTTGTGCCCATTAGTGAGGTCAGACCTGGTTCACCATCCAATTCATCCCAAAAGATGTTCAGTAGGGTTGTGCAGGACACTTGAGTTCTTCCACCTTAGACTGGTCAAACTATGTTTTAAGGGCACAACAATGGTGGAGCAGAAAAAGACATTCACAAACTCTTATAACAAGGTTGGAAGAGCACAGTTGTTGAAAATATCTTTGCAGGATGTAGTACCCTTCACTGGAAACACCTGATCTCCATCATTTGGAGGGGTGCCCATATACTAATGACCATTTAATGTAGTCCTGAGTTAAAGAGCTGGTGTAACCAACAAGTGAGCAGATGACCATATCGGTTTTGCTCAGTTTGTCTATGGCCATTAGCCTCTGCAAGCCATCTGCAGCTCAGGAAATGAAGGGAAGGATGTCATGGGTTGGGTGAGCAAATATTCATAGAGAGTGAGGCCCACTTCCACTTTCTCACCTGGAGGCTGGAAAACTTGGGCGGAAAGCATTTTTGCCTTTAATGACTTCCATGCAGCCAGCGCCATCATCACCTGGAAACAATAAATCACAACAGTTAAAGAGACCCTATTTCCAGACCTTTCATTTCAACAACAACTGTCCCATTAGATTATATGTGTATTTAACGTATGCATGTTATTTACCCATAAAGACATCCTTTGTGTATACTTCCAAAGGCTCCGAGACTGCTGATGGGTGCCACCATCTTGAATGTCTGTAGACTCAGAGCTGTCACTCAAATGACACTTCTCTAGTATCCTCCTTCGCTCCTCACTTGGCTTCTACATAAAAGGCTATGTACGAAGTGAAGGGAGTGGTGGAGGAGCTGGGCCAGCATAGACAGGAATTTGTCACTTCGAGAAGAGGAGAGGCCTATGACGTGTAAGGAGGGAAGATGGCTGTGCTAGGGGAAGGACTATCCTTGCAGTAGCCTCATTTTCTACCAAAGTTCACAGGCACATTGCAAGTGATTGAAAATAGAAAAAGGAAAACACTGCAAGTAAGCATTTAAAATATTCCATTTCTCGTACTTATTTTTACTTTTACTTGCAATTTAATACACAGGGTCCCTTTAATGTGTAAATACAGCCTGTGCTTGCTGGACAATACATGTTCAGTATTCCTTCGAACAACCCAGCTGCACAATTCCTTTTCGGAATGTTTAAAAATGTATTTAATTATTTTAATTATTTTTTTAAACACAATTGCCACTTTAGAGTATACTTTGGGAAATGCAATGCAGATGTATTATTACTGGATATTTACTTTGCCAAAACACTCTATAATAAAACAACTTTTTTTTGTTAAAATACTGTTTACACCTTTTTCCTCTCAGTGTTGCTGATCTGCAACCTCTTTCAGCCACATCCTGTCTAGATGCCATGCACTGGCGCCAGCGTTGGTCGAATGTGAATGCCCTGACCGTCTTCCTGAAGGTGACAACGGAGGACTATGCCTGCGCAATGTGGGCCAGCATAACTGCTTGTAGTCACCATCAGGGGTCCATGTGAGCGCGACAATAGAGAAGCACAATTGGGAGACGGTTGTCACCCATAACAGGAAGTACCTGAACAAGGACCTCCATGGCAGGATCGCCAGGTATTAAAGTTGTTGTAAAGATTAAAGGTTTTTTTTTTACCTTAATGCAGAGTTCCACGCACACTGTCAAAAAATAAAAGTCAACAGCTACTGCTGACTTTTAAAAAACAGCCACTCACCTGTCCCTCAGTCCAGCGGTGTCCTCCCTGCAGCCCGTTTCACCAGCCTTCTGGTGTTCCAGGCGCCGACATCTTCAGTGTGGGCACCCGGCTGTGCCAGCTTGCGGCTTCACAGCCGGGTGCCCACTGCACATGCGTAAGTAGCGCTGTGCTTCCCGAGTGGCCCCGTAGACTTCTGTGACCCGTCACGTGTCCCAGGAGACTACGGGGAGGGAGGGTAGGAGGACAACTTCTGCTTTCGTTTGACCAGGGGGAAGGGGGGGGGTGGAGTGGGTGCGGGCACCTGTCAATTTCGGGTACCCCCTCCCCCCCCCGCTCCCCAAAGGTGCCAAACCTTAATGGGAAGCGGGGGGCCAGCCTTTAAAGCAGAACTTCCCCTTTTGAGTGGAGCTCCGCTTTAAAGCATTCTTTGCGTTAAAGTAAAAAATCTTTTGGAATGTAGTTTCTCCCCAATCCCCCTAAACACTCACCTGAGCCCGATCTTGATCCTGCGTTGTGCCCGAGAGCAGCAGAGCTGCTGTGTCTCACTCTGCTTATTGACTTCAGCTGCTGTCAATCAAAGCCAGTGATGATGGCTCAGGGGGCGGGGCAGAGTCCTGACGTCTGTGTCCACAGACGCAGACAGCAGGGCTCGGGAGCGAGCATGCAGGTGGGGCCCAATAGAAATTGTGTTCCTATGGGGCATAACCAAGAAGAGGAGCCAGGAGCGCCGGCAGAGGACCCGAGAAGAGGGGGATCGGGGCACTGCTCTGTGCAAAACCATTACACAGAGCAGGTAAGTATAAACTTCTTGTTATTTTTTTTATATTTCTGATCATTTTAAGCTACGAAAGCATATTAAACACCTTTTCTAGTTACATAAAATGATAAAAGATTATATAATTACAGGCGTACCTCGGTTTACCAACGCCTCGGTTAACAAATGAAAATAATGCCTCGGTTTACTAACCATGCTGGAGTCTGTGGGTAACACGTGGTGTCGAGTGTGGAGGTGTTGGAGTGGTTTTTGCATCGAGTTTTGGAGCTGTTCTGGAAATTTTTTAATCATGTCCCTGTATAGTATTTATGCCTTTAACCACTTCCAGTCCGGACACTTTCACCCCCTTCCTGTCCAGGCCAATTTTCAGCGCTATCACACTTTGAATGACAATTGAGCGGTCATGCAACACTGTACCCATATGAATTTAGCATTTTTTTTTGAGACAGCTAAAGCTTTATTTTGGTAGCATTTATTCACCACTGGGATTTTTATTTTTTTTGCTATGTAAATGAAAAAGTCCAAAAATGTTGAAAAAAAAGTGTTTTTCTTATAAAATTTTGCAAATAAATAATATTTCCTCATAAATCTTGGCCAAAATTGATTCTGTTATCTTTTTAGTAAAAAAAAAAAAAAAAATAACCCAACTTAGTATAAAACCAAAAATTATAATTTTTAAACTTTTTTTTACATTTTCTTTTTTACATACTGTCACCCTAGCAGTACAGTGTCACCATGGTGATACTGTACTACTTGTGGGGGGTGATGAAGATTTTTTTTTTTTTTTTTTTACACGGATTGCTTTTACATTCATAAAGGCTGTAAAAGCAATCATTTCTCCTTCTCTCTGGCTGCATTCTTGCAGCCATTGAAACTACTGTGTGAGCTGTGATTGGTCACAGCTTGTCACATGGTAGAAGGCTGTTGTGAATAGCCCTGTACCATGTGATCTCTGTGATTATTCACAGATTTCACACGTAGTAAGCAATGATGTCACAAGTGACATCTTGCTTAGTACTCTGCATGTGATCACTGATTGGCCAATCAGTGATCACATGATCGGGTCCCGTACGACGATCGGTGTTCCACTGTATCCGGAGGACACAGCGGGCACCGGATCGTGGTGCTGCGCACTCCCAGGGAGTGCGCACAAGCAGGGGGCGGGGAGGCAGTTTATAAACGGCCACCCGCCCCTGCACTGCCACTGTCCAGCCGTTTATATACAATGGCCGGATGGGAGGTGGTTAAAGTACACTTAATGAAGAGTTTTGAACAGATAACGGATTCATTGGTTGTCAATGCATTACTATCCGAAACTGAGTTTCGGTTTACGATTTTCTTTGCAATACGAAACGACCCGGAGAACGCATTAAATTCGTAAATCGAGGTACGCCTGTATTTAGTGATGTCATTTACAGCTATTTTGAGATTGGCTTTTCATTTACATTATTGAACAGTTATAGAATAGCAGCCAAAATATTTTCTTGGCATCAACATGTTGGGATGGCACGCCTATAATTGAAATGTGCCTGCTTGGTCATCCAGCACTCATATATGCTTCACAAGCAGCTCCATGGTGTCACTGGAAGCCATATCTTTGACTCCCAGGCCTTTCCAAATATGTTGTCAGTGTTCTTGTGAATTGGTGGGTGTCAAAGTCACACATTTTCAATAGACTGTCCGATTAAGGTTATGTAGGCAATAGCAATGATGTATTTTGCGGATTTAACCTCAACCCCCCCTCAGTTCTGACGTGTATGGAGTTTACCTGAAGCAAAGAGTAAGGTGAGGCCCCGAGCTCCAGCCTTCATGAATTCTGTGTTGATTCTCTGCATATAGGCGACCGATAGACTGTCTTCATCATCGCCATAGCTAATGGTGTGAACCCACGGGACCGACGACATGTTACTCAGTAACAACATCCATTCTAGGAACGGTTCCTGTGATTCGTGGCGGCCCTGTGAGAATCAGAAGCAATGGCATTTATGCAGCTCAGACATCATCTTGTATTTACCATTTAAACACATTTTTATTCGAGGAAGGAAAAATCTGAACTCAGGCAATAGGCTCAATTCACAAAGCTAACACAGCAGGATAAGGATAGTGTGACGGACTGCCTGACACCCCGACTGGGTATCTCCCCCATACTACAGCTTCCTCCACTCTGGAACCAGAATATAGCAAATTTATCTCAAGCATCAGATAGAACCAATGTTGGAGTAAAACAGGACTGATTTTAGTAAACAGAACAGCTGTGCCAGCTAGACATGCATGGCACACATTACAAATCCCAAGGGAAAATGACATTACATAAACAATCAAACACAAGAAAAAACAATGGATTCCTTCCCGGCACCTAGCAGTCTGGACTCTGAAGGCGATTAAACAAAGTGACAGCTTATCACCTAAACCTAATTACAGCAAACAATAGTTGATGCCAGGAACCCTGTAACAGAAAATAAAGGTTTCTTAAACCCACATGTGCTGGAATTCATTCCCTGCACATAGTTCCACCATGCACAGTATGCCAAGGGGTCCCAAAAACAGTCCTTCCAGACCTAATTGCATGGAAAGGGTAGCTGGTATAAGTCATGGCTGGCCAGCTACCTAGGGAAGTAATATAGCCCTCTTGGGTAGAAGGTTCCTTGAAACCCCAAGAGGAGGGTTTCCTTAGTCCTGGGTCCATAGTTGGTGGGAAGGAGGCTGGTGCCCCAGGCCCTTCCAGAAGACCAGGTCATGGTGGTTTCCATGACAGATACTCATTTTGAAAAAGTGACTTCTTTTAAGTTGAGCCAATAAGAAAATTACAGTCACACCGCTACAGCAAAGACTTTTTTCCTTGTGTAAAGCTTTGTGAACTGAGCACATTGTGTCACAATTCTAGATTTCTCACAAGGATAGCCACAACTCTCACCCCCCAAACCCCCATCCCCATCTCCCCCCCAACCTTCGCACATACACCATGTTCTTACCAGGATTGGTAAATACCCAAGTGGAGATGTTGGCTCCCGTGCTCATGATGTACTCCACATCCAGACTGGCCTCAAGACCAGCCCTGCCTGCACCCTGCTGACCCACCACATGGTCCACCTCTGAGCGGTGCTCAAAACCTCCTCCAAATAACTTCATGAACTCTGCCAGGTCACTTTGGCTGAAGTACTGCTCCAAGAACTGAAGAGGTAGAAAAAGAAGAGTTACGGGTCAATCAGAAAGGATTGTGGAACTTATCAGAACTCGATTGTATTTGATAAACATTTGAGGTGTTGTATAAATAATTGACTGAACTTAGAGTAATACATAGCCATTAGTTGCCGACTTTGCCTTCTAAAAAAGCTTACACGTAAAAGTTTCCCAATACTCAAAGTGTTACTTAACCCAGGACCCTGCATTCACTATATCTGGTCTCTCCGGACCCCGCATTCACTATATCCTCTCCGGTCTCTATATCCGGACCCCGCATTCACTATATCCGCTCTCCCTGGACCCCGCATTCACTATATCGGTCTTCCCGGACCCCGCATTCACTATATCCGCTCTCCCCGGACCCCGCATTCACTATATCCGCTCTCCCCGGACCCCGCATTCACTATATCCGGTCTCCCCGGACCCCGCATTCACTATATCTGGTCTCCCAGGACCCCGCATTCACTATATCCGCTCTTCCCGGACCCCGCATTCACTATATCCGCTCTTCCCGGACCCCGCATTCACTATATCCGCTCTCCCCGGACCCCGCATTCACTATATCCGCTCTCCCCGGACCCCGCATTCACTATATCCGCTCTCCCCGGACCCCGCATTCACTATATCCGCTCTCCCCGGACCCCGCATTCACTATATCTGGTCTCCCCGGACCCCGCATTCACTATATCCGCTCTCCCCGGACCCTGCATTCACTAGATCTGCTCTCCCCGGACCCTGCATTCACTATATCCGCTCTCCCCGGACCCCGCATTCACTATATCCGCTCTCCCCGGACCCTGCATTCACTATATCTGGTCTCCCCGGACCCTGCATTCACTAGATCTGCTCTCCCCGGACCCCGCATTCTCTATATCTGGTCTCCCTGGACCCCGCATTCACTATATCTGGTCTTCCTGGACCCTGCATTCACTATATCCGGTCACCACGGACCCTGCATTCAATATATCCGCTCTCCCCAGACCCTGTATTCACTATATCCGCTCTCCTCAGACCCTGCATTCACTATATCTGGTCTCCTACAGTACACAGAACATGGAAATGCAATTATTTTTCCCAAATATAAACCGCTAAATACCTTTTCTCATCAGCAGTATACAGCAGTCTTGTGACTTCAATCAGTGTCCAGCCAAGTACTGGTTAAAGCTCAATTCCAATGTAAGTGCAGCGCTAAAGCAGAAGTGACAAATGCAATCATACAGTGCTTATGTGAATAGAAGTGTTCATACAATATTCCAGTGAAATAAATAAAACGCCTCCGATCACATAGAATCCTAAAATCATAAAAATTCTGAATATAAATAGTGGACAGTTCGTGGCACTGCAGGTCACAGAAGCACTAAGTGATACATGTGTGCTTATTTAGCAATAATAGTGATTATACATAGTCCATGGAACGACAGGTCACAACAATGCCCGGTGTTCCTGGAACTACAAGGTGCAGCAATACCAGCTGGGATGCTCAAGAGTGCTCATGATCCAACATAGGAATCCACCACCTTCTATGGATGTGCGCTCACCAGAACGCTACTTGTATAATGGCGTTAATGCTGATCCTTATGGGGGGTCTCAGGAAGCCATAAATAGGGACCGGACTTCTCCAGGGTCAGGGCTATGCACAGCCAGCAAAGGATCCTCCTAGGGGGAGAAGCTCACCACAGGAGCTGATGGTATGGCAATACAGTGTATTTATTGTAAATAGTTAAAAGTCATACACGTGGATACAGCAAAGAGTTAAATGCATAAAAGCATACTAAAATGGGCGCCGCTCTGAGCTTGGACTCTAGAGTAGTAAGCGTGCCCCTGAAGATGTGTATGCGCACAAAACGCGTTGGGTGGAGCCTTATGTGCTGACGTCACGCCGCCAGAGTTAACTCTTTGCTGTATCCACGTGGATTACCCTAGGAGGATCCTTTGCTGGCTGTGCATAGCCCTGACCCTGGAGAAGTCCGGTCCCCATTTATGGCTTCCTGAGACCCCCCCATAAGGATCAGCATTAATGCCATTATACAAGTAGTGTTCTGGTGAGCGCACATCCATAGAAGGTGGTGGATTCCTATGTTGGATCATGAGCATCCCAGCTGGTATTGGTGCACCTTGTAGTTCCAGGAACACCGGGCATTGCTGTGACCTGTAGTGCCACAGACTGTGTAATCACTATTATTGCTAAATAAGCACACATGTATCACTTGGCACTTCTGTGACCTGTAGTGCCACAGACTATTTATATCCATTATTTATATTCAGAATTTTAGAGTTTATGATTTTATGATTCTATGTGATCTGAGACGTTTGATTTATTTCACTGGAATATTGTATGAACACTTCTATTCACATAAGCACGTTATGATTGCATTTGTCACTTCTGCTTTAGCGCTGCACTTACATTTGAATTGATTAATATGGGTTTGTTACCTTGCCTTTTGTGCTAGCAGCTACCATATTATCTGCGCTCGCCTCATATTTTGTGTTATATCAGTAGTTAAAAGCTTGTAGGAGGTATTTTCATTCTCCTCTAACTGTCCTAATGAGGCTGCACGACCCCTGACCCTCTGGACAGCACCGATTGGCTCTGCGCCGATCACATGCACCCTCCCAAAAAAAACAGAAAAAGAAAAAACCTCTGGCAATACTGAGCACGTGTAGATTTGCCACGACTTATCTGTACTATGGCAAAAGGATTGGGGACAGTAAAAGAAGGGGAGGATCAGAGAAGACAGAATCAAACAGTCTTTTTACACAATGTAGAGGATTAGCCCCTTAGATTCCATAGTGAGTAAACCCACATCAGTAAAATCTGTCTCTATATATGCAGTAAAGCACAGGGGCGGACTGACCATTTGGAAACTCGGGCACTGCCCGAGGGCCCGGGGTCAATAGGGGGCCCCATGAGATGCCCCGTTACCTTTTTAATAGGCTTTTTTGAGTTTGGGCAAGGAACAGGGGCCCCATGATTCCCTATTGCCCGGGGGCTCCATCAGTTGTCAGTCTGCCCCTGGTAAAGCATGCTTGCTATACTAACACTTTAAGTCGTAAATAGTGGCATTTCCACTAGAAAAGTACAAATGCCATACAGAAGCTTGCCCTCACCCTAAAACTATACACAGACAGCCAGCAGCATACTGTAACATCCAATGCTTGTAAAATGTTATTCCAAGACAAACTTCAAAGAAGCCCCACCTGGAACTATTTCTTCTGATGGGCTTCACCCAACACCGAGCTTAATCATAAAGAACTCTTTCTACATTCTCTACAATCAAGCCCAGTGCGGAGTGGAAGGCCTCAGAGGAGGAGGTCCTAGGCAAGGCTTCTATAAAGGTTGCCCTGTAATAATAGATTTACAAGCATTGGGTGTTCCAGTGTACTTCCAGCTGTTTGGGCGTTTTGAAGAAGCTTCTTGGTGTAATGTAGATATGGCAGGGAGTGCTCAACCTTTTGAAGTGTAAAGGCTACTTAGGTGATTTGGTAACAGGTCGCAGGCCACAATGAAACTAAATGGTTCCGAATTTTGAGTTTTTCCATTTTGAATAGCACACTGAACATTTTCCTCTTGCAGCTGCTGAATGCTGGTGGGAGATGAGGAGAATGGAGAGTATTGGTTCCTTGATATGCCACCACCACCGCCCTTCCTGTCCAAGTCTAAAATAGAATGCGACAGCGAGGCCACATGGCCCGCCTGGAGCATGGGCTGGGGTCACCATTGCAACCCTCAGTGGTTAACCCTTTTATAGGTGCCAATATGCCCACTGCAAATGTGCACTTTATGTGTTGTTTAATACAAACACCTACTTTTCCTCTTCCAGCTTCTGCTGGCATCGCTCTCCAGGCAGCTAGGAAGGTCCCAGGCAAAGTGCACTTGGCATCAATCCACCTGCAACAGAGGAAGCATTGACTTATGCAGCTCCTGCTCCCTTGGTGGCCGCCTGCTTCCTCCGCTGCAGGTGCCAGCTCAATGCTCTGGGATGTCAGGTCGGCAAGCCAAGATCACAATCAATGGGTTGCCGACCCCAGGCACATGCTTCCCTGGTTTGAGGTCAAGGGCCACGGGTTGTGAACACCTGGGTTACTAGATAAAGATGGATGAATGGCGATATAGAGATGGGGATAAAGAAATATGGGTGAAGGAATTGTACCTGAGGGGTGTGGATGTACCAACAGTGGTGATATACGGATGGGAGCAAAGGACTGGGGGGGGGGGTAAACCAGGATAAGAGGTGCCCATAGAATGGTGAAAGAATAGTGATATAGACATCAAGGGAGAGGAATGTAACTAGAAGGACTGGAGTGAAATGGTGTGTGTAGGGATGGAAGTTGAGAAGTTGGATGGAAGAATGGGTGGGGGGGCAATGCATTGAAAGAAATGGGTATAGAGGTGAAAAGGACAAATGGTGATATAGAGATTGGAGTAAAGAAATGGGGTAGAGGAGTTGATGAAGGGAAGAGATGTGAATACAAACAGTGATGAAGTAGTGTTGAAGGGGGTAGAGGAAGTGGGGGGTAACGGGGGTAAAGGGGTGCAAGTGGAGGAATAGGGGTGGAAGAATGGTGATATAATGATCAAGGGAGAGGCATGTGACTAGAAGAATGAGGGTGAAAGGGTGTGTATAGTAATGGGAGTGGAGGAGGATGTGAAAGGATAGGGGGTGAGGGCATGCATGTAGGGAGGGTGATGGATGGGGGTACAGAAATGTGGATGGAGGAACTATAGGGAAGAGGTATGAATGTTCAAACTGTGGAGTAGTGGTGGTGTGGGGAAAAAGGTGAAGGATTGGGAGGGGGGGGGGGTCAAAGGAGTAAAGGGATCCATGTGAAGTAACAGAATTAGAAGAATGGCAATAGAGGGTTAGGAGAAGAATGTGGCTGGAAGAATGGAGGAATTAAGGTGAAAAGGTGTGTGTATGGATGAGAGTGGAGGAGGTAGACAGAAGGATGGGGGGTGATGGGATGCATTGAAGGGGGTGGGGGGGATGAAATGGAGGAACGGTAATATACAATGTGGGTGAAGGAACTGTAGGGAAGGGGAATGGGTGTAGAAATGATGACTGAGTGGTATAGAGAAGGGGTGTAGGAATGGGGTAAAGAGATGCACATGGAGGAATGGAGGGTGGAAGATTGATGATACAGGGATAGAGAGAGAGGAATGTGACTGGAAGGACAGAGGGATGGGGATGAAGGGATACCAATAGAAGTATAGGGTGAAATGATCCATAGAAAGTAGTGTGAAGGGTGGGGTGTGGATGGATAAATGAAGGATGGAGCAGAGAAGGTGACTGGAGGCCCGGAGAGAACTTCCAGTAACAATGACATCCCTGCTGAGATCTGGAGAAGGATCTTTGCAGAAAGTTGGGTACCCTTGCTCTCGTGCATGGAAGTAAAGAAATGTAACCTCTACATATGGAAAGGCTGCTTTATAGATCAGCGTTGGATTTAAGGCTCTGGAGATGCAGATGTAGTTAGAATATTTATTCATTTTGACTTTTAGTTGAACTCCATTGACATTAGTCTTTTCCAACCTAATTTTGCACAAGTTAATTTGCACTGTTGGCATGTACAGTAAACCGGGGCGGTCTGACCATTTGGAAACTCGGGCACTGCCCGAGGGCCCGGGGTCAGTAGGGGGCCCCATGAGATGCCCCTGGTACCTTTTTCATAGGCTTTTTGAGTTTAGGCAAGGACACAGGGGCCCCATGATCCCCTATTGCCCGGGGACCTCATGAGTTGTCAGTCCGCCCCTGACAGTAAATGGGAGATTCCTGGGGGTATGCAGTACATTCTGTTTACAGGAGGGGTACAGAGTACATATAGTATACATGGGGAGGAATATAATTTATTGCGGGGGGGGGGGGGGGGGGTTCGATGGTATATTGCGCACGGATGGGGGGAAAGAGATATTGTGGAAACACATGGAATACATGACAATCTGGGTACCTGGGCACAAGCCTGGATGTTGTTGGGCTGGCCTCCAACGTCGCTGGATGTCAGGTTATATCTCTCTCTTAGAATGGACGGGGTGACTCCCAGGTGAAAACCTTCCTTTATTCCATCCACTTTACTCTCAGGTCTTCTCAGGACTTTCCGTACGGGTGGAAACCGGTGTAATCCTCCCACTGAGAAGAGAGTCACATATATACATATATACACTGCTGGCCATGCCGTATACAGAAACATTTCTGTGTGCCCTCACGGTGAAAGGTCTGGTAAAGAGAGTATTATGTATTTATTCCCATGTATTGACCTGGGGGGGGCTGGACATCTTTTGCTGGTACAGTTCAGCTCCCACTCATTTATTTCCCATTTATGATGGGCTCTCCACACTCCACTCACATCACACCTCCACTGTGCAGTCTTCTCACCCAGGAGTGCGGAAACACCTTTTTTTGGGGGGGGGGGGGGGGGGGTTATGGATTATATGTAATACATTATATTAGAGTAGCTAATGTCTCAGAGACTGTATGCTGGATTTGGTTATGAGAGAAAAAAAAATGATGTGAAGAGCTTTGATCCTCCATCTGGTGGGAAGGCTTGGAGGTGGAATATGAGTGCAATCAACCCGCCATAGATGAAGGAATTATCAGTGGGTTTGGATTGTAGATAAAATCACGATGAAGATGGGGCAGGCCATGACTTCACAGCAGAAGGTACTCTGCCTACATCCACTACGGAGAGGATGGCCTCCCCAACCGCTGCTCGGAGAGGATGACCTCCCCAGGAGGAGGAGGCCATTGTCTCTGTACAGTGACTGGCATGTCTCTCCTCTTTGTACAGTGATAAGGGTCTAGCCTCTCTGTACAATGATTGGCGTGTCTATACTTCATGTACAGTGACTCTGGGTCTGGGTGACATGGGGGAATGTTGGGGAGGCTTCTGATGTACCCAGAAGTGAGGACATTGCCGCAAGTGAGGAAGTGCTGGTAACTGTAGAAAAGTTTTGTCAGGCTAACCCCGGTCCCTCTCCGCACTGAACATGGCCACCCTCAGGGAATGTGGATTTTTGTGTTTCTGTGGGATTTCTCGCCCACCTACTTTGTCTTTTCTACCAAAAAGCCCATTCATAACTCACCAAAGTCTATGTGCTCAGCCAGTTCTGGGGTCAGCGAGTAGTGGGATGTGGATCTGACCACGCTGCGGTCTCCATTCACGTAGCGGTGGAACTTTGCCCCAGGAAGCAATACCTCTGCGGTGCTACATGATAGAGCGAGACAGGAAGAGGGTGAGAAATTAGATGAAGGTGTATGGAAAGGGGAATGGGGTATGGGTATTAGGACAGGATGAAAGGTGGGGGTGGATTACAGGAAAAGGAAGAGAAATGGGGAAGCAGGGTTACCTGATCTCAAGTAGCTCTTACAGGGCGTTTCCCAATCTGAAGCACCTCTCAGCATGGGACACCTGATTTCTAGTACCCTTAAGCATGGGTCACCTGACCTCAAGTAGCCCTTACCTGGGGTTACCCAACCTCAAGTACCTCTTAGCATTGGTTACCTGGTTTCAAGTAGCCCTTAACAGGGGTTGTCCAACCTCAAACAGCCTTTTTTGAGGTGTTATCCAAACTTAAGTACCTCTTAGTGTGGGTCACCTGACCTCAAGTAGCCCTTACCTGGGGTTACCCAACCTCCAGTACCTCTTAGCATTGGTTACCTGATCTCAAGTAGCCCTTACCTGGGGTTACCCAACCTCTTGGTTACTGATCTCAAGTAGCCCTTCCCTGGGGTTACCCAACCTCCAGTACCTCTTAGCATTGGTTACCTGATCTCAAGTAGCCCTTACCTGGGGTTACCAAACCTCCAGTACCTCTTAGCATTGGTTACTTGATCTCAAGTAGCCCTTACCTGGGGTTACCCAACCTCCAGTACCTCTTAGCATTGGTTACCTGATCTCAAGTAGCCCTTACCGTTACCCAACCTCAAGTATCTCTTAGCAATTGGTTACTTGATCTCAAGTAGCCCTTACCTGGGGTTACCAACCTCCAGTACCTCTTAGCATTGGTTACCTGATCTCAAGTAGCCCTTACTTACCCGGGGCATTGGTTACCTCAACCTCACCCAGTACCTCTTAGCATTGGTTAATTGATCTTACCTGATCTCAAGTAGCATTGGTTACCTGATCTCAAGTAGCCTTAACATTGAGGTTACATGTCCAACCTGATCAAAGTAGCCCTTAACAGCAGCTCTTAGCAAGTGTTATCCAAATCTAAGTACCTCTTAGGCTAAAGTAGCCCTTACAGGGGGTTTCCTGATCTGAAGTACCTCTTAGCATGGGTTTCCTGATCTCAATTAGCTGTTAGCATGGGTCACCTGATATTACCTAATGCTTAGCATGGGTCACTTGATCTTAAATAGCCCTTGGTATGGGTCACTTGATCTGAAGTACCACTTAGCAGGTCACCTTATCTCAAGTAGTCCTTAGTGTGGGCCATCTGATCTCAAGCACTGCTTGACATAGGTCACCTGATTTCAAGTAGCCCTTAACAGGAGTCACCTGGTCTCAAGTACCTCTTAGCATGGGTCATCGGACATCATGTAGCCCTTAGCATGGGGCACCTGATCTCCAATATTGCTTACCCATTTGATTTCAAATACCCTTTAGTATGGGTGACTTGATCTCAAATACTGCTTCAGCTAGGTTCACACATATGCAGTTTGCGTTTGATTCATTTTTACAACATTTTCGATGCGTTTTGTGGGGTTTTTTCTTCAACTTGTTGCTCGGCAGATTAAAACGCATCAAAAACGCACTACATGGTTTTCTGCAGCATCTCCATTGAAGTCTATAAAAATGCAATGTTTTGCATTTAAAAAAAAAAAAAAAAAAAGACCCTTTCCAAAAAACACAGGGTAAAAAAATCAGAGATGTGAACTTGCCAAGCGGGAAATCATGTTAAATGGACTGCTGTGAGTTGCTGTAAAACGCAAAATGCAAAAGAAACCGCACAGGAGTGAACCTAGACTCACATGGGTCACCTGATTTCAAGTACTGTTTAGAAAGGGTCACGTGATCTCAAGTAACCCTTAGCATGGGTCATCTGATCTCAAGTAGCCCATCATATGGATCCCCTGGCCACAAGTACCGGTTAGTGGGGGTCATCTGATTTTAATTAGTCCTTAGGGTGTAGAGGGGAATTAAAGGAAAATCTTTGAAAAGTTATGAAGAATTTAATTTTTAATCAGAAGTAACCCTAACGTTTTCTAAAGCATACCAGTGTACATGTGAGACTGGCTGATAACATCTGTCGTAGAGGATCTCCTATGTGTGTCATGAACATAGTTGTTCCATATACAGGGATCCAGCATGCCTCTGAGAGGTGTCATATTATCCTTCAACTGAGACCTCAACAGCAGCACTCTGACACAGGTTGCTACTTGGGAAGGACTGACAGAGTTTCTACTGCTGATTGCTCAGCAACCATGTGTAAGAATAATAAAAATGATTTCTACATAAAGTTTTACAACACCGTGATCTTCAGTTACAGCGCCAGCAGAAAAGCACATATAGATTGAAAACCTATAACTTGCTCTTGTGTCAGCGATGCACGTAATCTGACATTTCTTGCTTATACCACTTGCCGACCGCCAAACTGGAAAAATGTGTCATGTGTTTATAGCGGTATACTGGGGTTATGGCTGCAGTTGGACGCCATAACCCCGGTATTAAAATTTTCTGCAGATGCTGCTCTTTCCGATAAAAGTAATCAGAGTGGCTGATTAGCTGCTGGACCACTTGTAGAACCGGTGGGAGGGGTTCCTTCCCGCTGCTTTCCAGTGGTTACCTGGCACATCGGGAAGCCCGGGAACTGATTCGGCGGCTGGCCATGAAGATTGGCAGAGGAAAGATGGCCTCAACTCACCTCTATGGCCTAGGAGGCTGGGCACGACATCACTTCCAGTTCATCTCCTAGATTGTAAGCTCCCAGGATCAGGGCCCTCCTATCCCTCTTGTATTGAACTGTATTGTCTCCCTTTAAATTGTAAAGTGCTGAGCAAACTGTTGGTGCCATAAATCCTGTATAATAATAATGTGCGATGTACACAAGGCCTTTTTTTTGGATTTTTTTAATCGGATGCTCTCCATTGTAGAGGGGAGATGTGGTGTCTTACGGACACACACACTTTTATTTTTTTTTAATTGCAGTTAAAAAAAAAAAAAAAACACATTGCAGAAACACCATGTGACAAAAATTGTAATGACTGCCTCTGCTAAAAAATAAATCAGAAATATATATATATATACATACCGTATTTTCTTCTGGCGTATAAGACGACCCCCTACTTTTCCTGTTAAAATATAGGGTTTGGGCTATACTCGCCGTATAAGACTACCCCTCTTCCAACGCACACCAAATAAAAAATTAAAAACCATCAGATTTGATTTCAATATGGTATGGTATTCCAATGATGGGGCACTATTCCTCCCACTGACACCAATGATGGGGCACTATTCCTCCCACTGATACCAATGATGGGGCACTATTCCTCCCACTGACACCAATGATGGAGCACTATTCCTCCCACTGACACCAATGATGGGGCACTATTCCTCCCACTGACACCAATGATGGGGCACTATTCCTCCCACTGACACCAATGATGGGGCACTATTCCTCCCACTGACACCAATGATGGGGCACTATTCCTCCCACTGACACCAATGATGGGGCACTATTCCTCCCACTGACACCAATGATGGGGCACTATTCCTCCCACTGACACCAATGATGGGGCACTATTCCTCCCACTGACTGACACAATCACTATTCCTCCCACTGACACCAATGATGGGGCACTATTCCTCCCACTGACACCAATGATGGGGCACTATTCCTCCCACTGACACCAATGATGGGGCACTATTCCTCCCACTGACACCAATGATGGGGCACTATTCCTCCCACTGATACCAATGATGGGGCACTATTCCTCCCACTGACACCAATGATGGGGCACTATTCCTCCCATTGACACCAATGATGGTGCCCCATCATTAGTGTCAGTGTGTGAGGAATAGTGTCCCATCATTGGTGTCAGGGGGAGGAATAGTGCCCCATCATTGGTATCAGTGGGAGGAATAGTGCCCCATCATTGGTGTCAGTGGGAGGAATAGTGTCTCATCATTGGTGTCAGTGGGAGGAATAGTGCCCCATATATATATATATATATATACAGAAGGAGGGATGTATATTAGTCAGTGGAGGGAGCTAATGTATGATGTGACCAGAGCTTAGTGGATATATTCTGCAGCTAATGCTATGATGTGACCAGAGCTTTTGGTCTCCAGCACTATCAGGAACTCTGTCTCCAACTGATGGGTTTGACACAAGCTTTGAGTTGTGTTGCGTAAACTGAAGGTTTTGCCAGCAAATGTACACGGGGACATGCAGGGTGCTGCAGATAATGATTCGATGAATGCAAAAAAAAAAAAAAAAAAACCTGTGGAGGACAGACTTAACCAATGGGCATGTAGAACTAAAGTTTGATAATGAGAGAACGGAAAGCCTTTACAAAATCTCAGCACAGAATATTTATGTACAATCTGTGCAGTCAGAAAGGCTGCCATGCTATTGGTGAACACTAATGCTTGATGCCCACTTCACTGTGAAATAAGCCACAGCATAGAGTATTGTTAGTAAATCTCCCCTGCACCCCCATACTCTCAACCTTGTAGAAGCCAATATAATGGCACCCAAACATGACTTTGGGGCCCCAAGGAACACGGAGCCATCCCCATCCCGGCACTCTGCACACATTTACTGCACTGGTAGAAGATCTTCCACTGTCTAACAAATGTCCAACTGGACCACAAAAGGCATTTCATACATTTTACTCATGCGGTCACTGTGACATCAGGGCAGACAGACGATCGAGGAACCTCCTACATGTCAAAAACCCAGAGTCAAGTGACGGCACCAGACTGGGAAATAGAGACTCTGACACCACAGATGTGACCACTGGGTCACGGCAGGAGCAAGGGATTGAGTAACAGGAAGCTGCTGACTTTACGGGAAGTGAAAAACAAGAACTTCAGAAAACTACGTGGGAACGTTCCAAACCCAACTTAGCAGAACGAAGTTAATGGAGACAGAAACAAGGTGTAGGGGAAGACTCACCTCACTAGAACACTCTACATCATGTTGGGGTCATAAGGCATGCCCAGCCTACACGGGGAGACTCACCTCACTCGGGTGTTAAGGTCATAGGGCACTGCCACTATATGGGGGAGACTCACCTCACTAGGACACTCTACATCGTGTTGGGGGTCATAAGGCACTGCCCAGCCTACACGGGGAGACTCACCTCACTAGGACACTCTACATCATGTTAGGGTCATAAGGCACTGCCCAGCCTACACGGGGAGACTCACCTCACTAGGACACTCTACATCATGTTAGGGTCATAGGGCATTGCCCAGCCTACACGGGGAGACTCGCCTCACTAGGACACTCTACATCATGTTGGGGTCATAAGGCACTGCCCAGCCTACATGGGGAGACTCACCTCACTAGGGTGTTGGGGGTCATAGGGCATTGCCCAGCCTACACGGGGAGAAACCCTCACTAGACACATCTCACCAGGATACCCTGCATTTTCTGAGGGTGGAGGGGAATTGCCTGGCCTGTAGAGATTCACACCCCAAACTAGGACACCCTGTATTTTGTGAGATTGAAGAGGAATTACAGGAGAGAAATCTCATCAGCACTCACCTGACTGGCATCTCACACTGCAGGAAGTCTCCAGTCTGCACGCTGTCACACTGCTGGACTCCATGTTTCCCCAGCCAAGTGCGGACTGTCCGAAGGGTGTCAAGGGAGGGACGAAGCAGAGCACTGAGGTCTTCCAGGACAAGTAGTGACCTGTAGGGGGAGACATGTACATTTTTCTTCAAACTGTTACTAAACCCAGGACCCTGCATTCACTATATCTGGTCTTCCACAGTACACAGAACATGGAAATGCAATTATTTTAGTAAATATAAACTGCTAAATACCTTTTCTCATCAGCAGTATATAGCAGTCTTGTGACTTCTATCAGTGTCCAGCCCAGCACATGTTAAAGCTAATAGGAGTTTTCATTCTGCTCTAGGAGGATGCAGAACACCTGACCTGTGGACAGTGCTGATTGGCCCTGTGCTGATGACATGCACTCTCCCAAGAAAAAAACCTTCTCTAGCCATGCACACCAAACTGAGCACGTACAGAGATACTGGAAGAAGGGGAGGATCAGAGAAGACAGGATCAAACAGCCTTTATACACAATGCAGAGGATTAACCCCTTAGGTTCCACAGTGAGTATAACAAGCATGCTTTATTGCATATATAGACTGATTGTACTGTTGTGGGTTCAGTAACACTTAAAGCACAGCAATGGATAGACTGGTGAATGGTATCTTTATGGACAGCCAACTCGGAGGCCCCCAGCTTGTCCATATAAACCAGGCTAGCACAACAGCGCCACCAAATGGGACAGGTTTGCTGCTGCACCCAGAACACACAGGACTGTCCAGGAAATGAATGCTTTGGGTTATTGCTGGCCTAGCAAAACACAGGGTGCAGGAATGCTAGACCAGCAAGCCCAATAATGTGAAAGGTTTAGGAACACTTTAACCTGCATTTTTTAAAGTTGGTCACAGGGTCCCTTTAACAAACTGTAAGTGGCTTTGTCTTATGATATACGGGTGTCACATTGTGTGCTTATGTCATCTGCAGCATGACACAGATTTTTTAAATTTAGGATGCAGAAGATGAAAATATGTATCTGCAGGCAAGTAGGTGCAGGAACTCAACCACGACCCCCCCAAACACACACCTTTCAAACCGTGTCAAATGGTCGGTGTGGTCAATTTCAATAACAGGTGAAAGTCTTAAAGGGGTATTAAATACCAGGAGTGCATTATGTACAAAGTGTGAGTTCAGGGTGCGCTGCACACAGAGTGCTGCATACAAAGTTCCGAGTTCAGGAGTTCAGCGGGTGCACTGCACACAGAGTGCAGAATCCAAGGGTGCAGAGTTCCAGGTAGGGGCGGACTGACAACTCATGGGGCCCCCGGGCAATAGGGGATCATGGGGCCCCTGTGTCCTTGCCCAAACTCAAAAAAGCCTATGAAAAAGGTACCAGGGGCATCTCATGGGGCCCCCTACTGACCTCCGGCCCTCAGGCAGTGCCCAGTTTCCAAATGGTCAGTCCACCCCTGGTTCCAGGGTGAGCTGCACACAGAGTTCAGAGTTCAGGGGTGCAGAGTTCCGGGGTGAGCTGCACACAGAGTGCAAACCCAGCCCTCTTTCACAGCTGCTCACCTCTGCACTCACCATCCACATCTCACTTTCATCCTCTTCAGCTCTGACCTCTGCATGCAAAAATCCTCCACTGCCACCATCTTCTCCCCTCTCTTTAACCACCTCCCGTCCGGCTGTTGTATAGAAACAGCCGGACGGTGGCAGTGCAGGGTCGGGTGGCTGTTTATAAACGGTCTCCCCACCCCCTGCTTGTGTCTGCTCCCTGGGAGCGCGCAGCACCGCGATCTGGTGCCGCTGTGTCCTCCAGACACAGTGGAACACAGAGTGTCGTACAGGACCTCTGTGCGAGGTCCCGATTATGTGATCACTGATTGGCCAATCAGTGATCACATGCAGAGTAGTAAGCAAGATGCCACTTCTGACATCATTGCTTACTACGTCTGAAATCTGTGAATGATCACAGAGGTCACATGGTACAGGGCTATTCAAAACAACCTTGTACCATGTGATAAGCTGTGACCAATCACAGCTCACACAGTATTTCTCAATGGCTGCAAGAATTCAGCCAGAGAGAAGGAGAAATTATTGCTTTTACATCCTTTATGGGTGTAAAAGCAATCAGTGTAAAAAAAAAAAAAAATCTTCATCACCCCCCCACAAGTAATACAGTGTCACTATGGTAACACTGTACTGTTAGGGTGACAGTATAATAATTTGGGTTATTTTTTTTTTTACTAAGAAGAGAACTGAATACATTTTGGCCAATATTTATGATGAAATATAATTTGCAAAATTTTATAAGAAAAACACTTTTTAAAATTTTTGGACTTTTTCATTTATATAGCAAAAAAAAATCCCAGTGGTGAATAAATACCACCAAAATAAAGCTTTATCTGTCTTTAAAAAAATGCAAAAAAATTCATATGGGTACAATGTTGCATGACAGCACAATTGTCATTCAAAGTGTGACAGCGCTGAAAGCTGAAAATTGGCCTGAGGGGGGGAAGGGGGTGAAAGTGTCCGGACCTGAAGTGGTTAAAAAGCTCCATTGTATTCCATATGTCTTACTTTTGTTGCTGTATTCAGCTGAAACACCCAGCCTACCTACCTACCTACCTGCCTACTGTAGTGGACTCTCACTCGCAGGGAGATCATCCATTGGGGGTGTCAACATCCACATTGCACCCCGGGCACCTGCATCTCCCTGGTCTCCACCCTACACTCAGTGGGAGCTGCTTAGGAGATCAGAAGTGTGGGGGTCATTGGGAGAGAAGCTGTCACTTGTAACAACTGGACTTCTTTGTTTACAAGTGATAGTGGTGAGCAGGGGGTGGAAGGCCTGAGACAGAGGTGGTGGAACTGAGTTCCACCACGTTCCAGCTGAAAAAAAGCCCTGCGTATCTGCATTTGTTTCCATGACCCATCCTCTCACTGTTCTAGTTATGTCCCTAATTTGCCCAGAATGAATATCCAAGATTTTGGTGAATGGTACCTAAAGGTTCTTATAGGTCTCAGAGACTCTGGAGATAAACAGAGATCACAATGTTGTGTTATCCCACCAGATTCCACCTAGAACTGAAAACACCCCTATTCACTGGGTATGAATATTAATATGCTTCCCTCTAACGTTTGGGGCAACTCACCATATTGGGGTGACTCTGGGTCGGATACTTTCCCAACCAGATCCCGCAATTTCTCCACATTCTGCTGCTTCAGGGCGAAGGTCAGGATCACCGATTCATCGCCTGAGAGGCGCTCTGTCTGCGTCCAACCATCCGGGACCCTGCAAATGGCAATTAAAAGGGAAAATTACCGGATTCTGGACTTGACCGAGTTGCTGAAACCCCCCAAAGTGGGAGTGCGACATTTACTGAACAAATGGCGAGCTGCTGTACTCTGCAATCAGACATTGGGCGGTGTCATTGGGGATGTCAGGTGTGCACAGGAAAACATTCACTCAGGATACGAATGCCTTCCTCCTCCGGCAAATCATGACAAAATCATGGCTGTTGGGAGTAGTTGGTAGAGTGCTGTACATAGCTTCTTGATAACATTAGAGAACCTGACTATATACTCCTCTCAAGATTGCTCTGCCAAGATGCAAGCAGTAGGCTCCTTATCACAACTAAAAAATCCCAGCGCCAATCAAAGAAAGTATACAATTATGCAGCTGTGCACCAGTGAAAACCACCAATAATGAATAACACAAAAAAACAGCCAAAAATTAAATAAATGAAAAATAATCACAAATAAATAAATGTCTGCATATATATATATATTTATATATATATAATATATTTCAAACGTAAGTCCTTATTTTAAAAGGATTTTCAAGACAATGTTTAAAATGTTTCCACCTAATCTGAAAAATAATGTTGACCGCACTCTATACGCCTCATATGATTAAGGGATCCTATAGCCCCTCAAGAGGAACTCAAATTTTCTTCACCCTGTTTAGATACAGCAATCGACTCCACTCTTTTCCATGGAATCCTCAATTTGCAAGAAGAAGGCTACATAGTGTAATACTGCCACTCAATACCATATAAATCCATAGAATAAGGACACTCACATGTTTCAATAAAATAACAGGCCTTGTTTAATAGCCTCAAACTTCAAAGGAACAAATTTCCAAATTGTAAATATAGGGATCTCACGCTTTAAGAATCACTAGAAGATGACCAGCTTTCCATCTAAAATGGCCGCTTGAACCGCAAAAGTCGGCGGGTTCCAAATACCGGGTGATGTAGGCCAAGATGACGGCAGACCGGAAGTGCGTCAACACGTTTCGCCCCACCCACAGGGCGTTCTCAAGCAGTAGGCTGCTTTCCAAAATTTGAATTTCAGTAGACTGATATAATCTATTTTTTTGCTAATCTACCCTATTCTACTCCAGCTATTCTATATATCTATTCTATGATGTTCGGTTTTACTCTAATTCTGTTTTATTCTATTCTTTTGAAATTCAATTTTCAGAAGACAGCTATATTTTTCCTATTCTTTTATTTTCTGTTTTATTTTATTCTATACTTTTAGAAAATTTGAATTTCAAAAGATAGCTATGTTCTAATACTAAATTTACTAACGGCAGCTATAAAGTGCAGTTGCTCCACAGCTTAGTAAAAAGGTAAAACTTCACTTTGCAATATCCAATCACATGCAAGGAAAATAAGAAAAAAAAAAAAAAAAAAAAAAAAAAAAAGAAACCACAAAAAAAAAAAGTTTTTTGCTTGTACGTGATTGGACGATATTAATCAGCAGAGCTTCCCCTCAGATCTAGAGCAAATGCCCTTGAGGTGCACAGACGATTTGCCTTTAGTAAATCAACCCCATAGTCTTTAAAAGAAATCAGCAATGGTCAGCAAAATGTTTAGATTTCAAATTTGTCTTCAAATTCGATTTGAATTTCGGAGAAAATGTTGTTTTGTTATTTGGGATTGTTTAAATTTGTTACTATTGTAATTTGGAAATTCAGATACATTCTAATCTTCGAATCAGGAAAATGTCCAAATTTTGTTTCTAAATGAAATCTCCAAGGAGCAGAGCCCTCCTATCCCTCTTGTATTGAACTGTATTGTTGCTGTATTGTCTCCCGTTATATTGTAAAGTGCTGAGCACACTGTTGGCGCCATAAATCCTGTATAATAATAATAATATTAATAAATGAAAACCGCAAATGTCTATGAGGCACCACCTTTTTTCCATCCAGGAGGTCAAAACCCTGGTAGAATAAGCTTTTGTGCCTTTTGGAGGCGTTGGCTATTGTGCTGTATTTCCAAAATGGCTTTTCTGATCTCTCTGGCTTCTCCTTGTAGCTTTATCTTCATTTTTTGGGCCAGAGAACAGTAAAAACAGGTAGTAGGACTTCCTCTAAGGTTTTCGTAACCTGTAGGTATTGCATAAGGCATCTCCTGATATTAAGATAATGAAATGTCCCTTCTTTCTGGTTGGTTTTACCTTCATTTTTCGGGCCAGAGAACAGTAAAAACAGGTAGTAGGACTTCCTCTAAGGTTTCATAACCTGTAGGTATTACATAAGGCATCTCCTGATATCCAGATAATGGAATGTCCCTTCTTTCTGGTTGGCTTTACCTTCATTTTTCGGGCCAGAGAACAGTAAAAACAGGTAGTAGGACTTCCTCTAAGGTTTCGTAACCTGTAGGTATTGCATAAGGCATCTCCTGATATCCAGATAATGGAATGTCCCTTCTTTCTAGTTGGCACCAAAGAGGGTATTACCACTTCTCTGGGGAGAAGTTTTGCAATGTTTGCTAAGAAGGCTGGATCAGGCGTCAAGATAAATTTATTTGGCAAAAAAGAGACAATAAGGCTGAGATATAGAAATGACACGTATTTTGATTGCTCTATATGCAGAAATTAATATCACCAGCAGAATGGTTTAGACCAGCCTTTCTCAGTCAGGGTACCCAGGCACTCTAGGGTACCTTGAGGTTTCTTCAGGGGTGCCTTGGGAAAATCTCTGAAAATTGCCCAAAACATGTGTACAAGCCAGCGGGTGGAACAAGCCGCCTTTTAGTTACACAAAGCCACAGGTTTCCATTGTGCACCATTACGAACTTCTAGCCGCCGGCATCCTGACAACCAATGACATCATCAGTTGATAAGGAGGATGTCAGCTGCCTGCACAGCATCCTAGTTTGACCCTCCCCCGCCGCTCTCCATCAGTGCTGGGGTCACATTAGCTGAGTGATGGAGAAAAACTGAAGGAGAAGAGAAACATTGGAATACTAGTCAGTACCAGTGTGCAAAAGTGTATTTGCTTTGGAAGAATAAATCCATCTACACACCCTGTTTCCAAATTATTATGCATTCTATTTAAGTGTCACAAAGATTAAATATATTTTGTTTTTCAGTTTAACTCATGGATGGCATTGTGTGTCAGGGCTCTTTTGATCACTGAAAACAATCTCGGATACCTGTGATAATTAGATTGGCCGGTGAGCCCAATTTAAGGAAAAACTACTAAAGGAGGGTGTTCCACATTATTAAGCAGAGCACCATTTTCAAGCAATATGGGGAAGAAAAAAAGGATCTCTCTGCTTCCTAAAAGAGTGAAATAGTTCAATGCCTTGGACGAGGAATGAAAACATTTGATATTTCACGAAAACTTAAGCGTGATCATCGCACTATGAAGAGATTTGTGGCTGATTCAGAGCACAGACGGGTTGGTGCAGATAAAGGCACATTGAGGAAGATTTCTGCCAGATCCATGCATCGGATCAAGAGAGCAGCTGCTAAAATACCATTACATAGCAGAAAACAGATATTTGAAGCTGCTGGTGCCTCTGGACTCCCACGGACATTATTATTATTATTATTATTACATCAAGTTTATATAGCGCCAAAGGGTTTGCTCAGCGCTGTACAATAGAGGGGGGGACAATACATGAAACAGTACAGCAACTACAAACAGCACACAAGGGTTAGAGGGCCCTACTCTTTCGAGCTTACAATCTAGGAGGGAGGGGGTAGTGGTACAGGAGGAAGTGGCTGTGGGGTATAAAGTGGTAGGAAGGAGAACGGCAGTTAGGTGAGGGCGACATGATTTGACATGAGGTTGGAAGGAAAGGTTTGAGTCCAGAATGACTCCAAGGACTTTGGCTTGCGGGGGGGGGGATGATGGTGGTGTTGTTAGTAGTGATGGATAGGATGGGGGGGGGGGGGGGAGCGCGGGCAGGGGGGAAGACGAGAAGCTCGGTTTTTGGAGAGGTTAAGCTTGAGGAAATGGAGCGACATCCAGTCAGAGATATTGTTTAGGAGGTGAGTGATGCGGGCGGAGAATGTGGGGGTGAGGTGGGGGGTGTGGAGAGGTAATTTTGAGTGTCATCAGCGTAGAGGTGGTAGTTGAAGCCGTGGGAGTGTATGAGTTTGCCAAGGGAGGAGGTGTAGATGGAGAAGAGAAGGGGTCCAAGGACAGAGCACTGGGGGACCCCAACAGAGAGGGGGAGGGAAGGGGAGGTGGCACCATTGTAGGAAACGCTGAAGGAGCATCGGGATAGGTAAGAGGAGAACCAGGAGAGAGCGGTGTCTCTGATGCCAAGGGAGAGTAGTTTATTAAGGAGGAGGGGGTGATCAACTGTGTCGAAGGCCGCGGAAAGGTCCAGGAGGAGGAGGACAGAGTAGTCGCCTTTGGCTTTGGCGGTTAGTAGGTCGTTGGTGATTTTGAGGAGGGCGGTTTTCGGTGGAGTGTAGGGGGCGGAAGCTGGACTGTAGTGGATCAAGGAGGTTGTTGTCAGTTAGGTGGGTGCTTAGGCGGTCGTAGACTAAGCGCTCAAGGAGTTTGGAAGTGAGTGGCAGCAGGGAGATGGGCCTGAGGTTGTTTGAGTTAGTGGGGTCCAGGGAGGGCTTTTTGAGTATGGGGGTGATGTGCGCATGCTTTCAAGGTGTAGCGCCCTCCAGAGTCTTGCAACTATGCATAAACCTTCTATTCGGTCACCACTAACCAATGCTCACAAGCAGAAACGGCTGCATTGGGCAGAAAAATACATGAAGACTCATTTTCAAACAGTCCTGTTCACTGATGAGTGCCGTGCAACCCTGGATTGTCCAGATGGATGGAGTAGTGGACGGTTGGTGGACGGCCACCCTGTTCCAGCAAGGCTGCGATGTCAGCAAGGCGGTGGTGGAGTCATGTTTTGGGCCGGAATCATGGGAACAGAGCTGGTCGGCCCCTTTAGGATCCCCGAAGGTGTAAAGATGACCTCTGCAAAGTATGTGGAGTTTATGACTGACCACTTTCTTCCCTGGTACAGAAGGGAGAAC